GCCCCGGACCTCTCCCTGCCCACACGGCGCCGGGCAGCTAGCGGGTGCGGGAGGCGCTCGGGGCCCGGGCGCGCTGCGCGCACGTCGGCTTGGGGGGCGGGTGTTCTGGAACGTTGGGCGCCGACGGCCCCGGGAACCGAGTGGGAAATTCGAACGGGGCGGCGGGAAGCCGCTGACGTCACGCGGCCGGGCATTGTTCTCGCGGCGCGGGTCGCCCGGCCACTTTGTTTGCCCACTTGCTCGTGCTTGTATCCACAGGTCAGCTCGGCCGAAGGGGCAGTGAAGGAGGAGGTGAGTGAGGGTCCCGTTCCTTCTGCTTTGGGGGTGAGTTTCATTTAATCGGCGTTCCTTGTTTATCTTATTGTTCATTTTCCCTTTTCTATCTTAAAGCCCAAGAGGAGATCGGCGAGGTTGTCAGCTGTAAGTAAGGCGAGCCCGGTAGTCGTTTGTTTTCCAAGGGATCGTAAGCAGTGAAGAAACTTAATGCCACTTTTGCTTTTCAGAAACCTGTTCCTGCAAAAGTAGAAACGAATCCGAAAAAGGCAGCAGGAAAGGTGGGTTTTAAAATTACTTTAAAATACAGTGATGTGTTAAATGCTATAGTGCTACTTAATAAAAAGGCTATTATTAACGATTAAAGAAGTGTGACATACTAAGATCTTGGCGTTTATTGTCTCAAGATGATCTGTTGAAGAGTAGAAATAAACTTAGTAACTTAGGATTCTTCTGGGCTGGTTAAAATACAGTGTCAATGTGTAGTCACCCTGGCCTACGTGAGTATAACGTAGCACCTTAATCCTGCTGTAGACTTGAGGAAATTTAAAAGGAATAAAAATAATTAAGTATTAACTGTAGTTTATAAAGGAAATTCATTTTTCGTGTTGTTTTCTTCATGATCAGTGTCTGTTCACCGAGTGCTTTGGCCAATAAGTCATGAGGCCAGAAAAAAAGGAATGTGTAGGTTGTTGTAGAGACTTCCCAAGCCAAGTAAGATATACATTTTAAGTAGGGATATATCAAGAGTTGTGTTCTCTGAGAATATAACAGTATTCTAAAATACTTTATTTGCAGTTACGTGTAAAGGTGTTCCTGGAATCATTTTATCTCAATAGCTTTTGAGTTAAATCATAATTAAAGGTTATGGCTCCAGAATAGACTTTATGACTGTGTTATTCAGATTGCAGGTCTTTAGAAAGAGGTGGTTCTTGTAGAGACGTGAATTTTGTAAGTTTTAAAGTTGGGAAAGCAATGTATGCATAAACCATTCTTAGACTTTGCATCAGGGTATGTAGCATTGGAGCCATTTTCTGCAAAGCTCTACAAGTTCAGGGAAAATTCATGGTTTTTTTTTTTTTTTTTTTTTACCGTGATCCTTTTTCTAAAAGTGTAGGTGGAAGTTTAGCACTGTGTAGTCTTGGTAAGAGGCAAGATTAATTTTCTTGATGCTGAGGAGCTGTTTATCCTTTTGTTAAATAAAGGTATAAAAGTTTTTCTTGTTTATTTAAACTGTAAGGGAACTGAATAAAATAATTGAACAAAGTTCTGTTTTTGCGATCTTATTAAGAGCAAAACTTCAAGGAAGGTAAAACCGTGGTTTATTATCCCACAAGATACTGCAGTAATTTTTTGCATTCAGAGCTAGTGTGTTATTGAACCTTGACATGAAGGCCTAAAAAATATAGAATCTTCTTAACAGATTGTTGGTATGAACGGTGTACTATGACTAACCATCTCCTTTGAGTCTTTGCTTTTTTATAAATTGATTGGCGGAAATATTATGCCTGTTCTCTCTTAAATTTTTTTTCCTTTCATATTGTTTTTTGTTTATATCTTGATCTGCCCTAAGCAAAATTTTAGATGAGAATAGTTCAATTCTACCCCCAGTGGGTAAATATAGTCATCATTTTTTCCTCTTCTCTCAGTGAACGACCAGCAGGTAAGTCTTTGTTCGTGTCAGTGTCCTTGAAAAACAGATATGAACAAAACTGTCTCTTGAGCTTTCCCAAAGGAAGGATGGGGAGGGGCTTTTTTCTTTTTTTTTTTTAATTTAGTTTCTGTAGCAACTTTGTGTGTTCATAATTGGTGTGGCTTTATTTAAAGCCTTGAACGGAAGGTAAACACTGAATGTATTGATTCCCACACTACACAATAGACATGTTTTCCAAAGCATAGGTAGTTGTGTTTCTGACTTGGCACAATTTCCTTGGAAGGGAGTATTGGGAAGTTGAAGCATACATTAGGAAGACTTGTAAATTTATTTTGGTTCATCTAGTTTTCCATCCTGTTACTGCGTATTTTGTTAGTTTTCTGAGATAACAAAATACTGATTACCATCTTTTTAAAAAATAAACTAATAACACAGATCAGATATCTCAAATGTATCTTGCTATTATTATAAATGTAATCTTAGTTAAAGAAAGTACTGATTTCTACTAAACATTTTCATTTTTAAGGTTTTATAATTTTGTGTTATCGGGTAGTGATTATGAAAACAATGAAAAATCTAAAAGTAATTACAATAGTTTTTAAGTATAGATGCACTTGTAAGTAATACCTGTGTAGTGGGGTGGTCCCAAATATGTTCACATAATTTGTTGTTTGTCTTTAAGGTATGTTGAATTACATATGGTATGCCTTGACTACCACCACTAGTGCAGAGTACATTGGATTGATTTTTTTTTTTTCCTCTTGGCATTGAAATTGTCAGTTCTACCTACGTGTCCTTCAGACACTCTAGGTCAAAGAATTGGTCAGTACTGATATGGGGTCTTTTATACAATCCACCCATGACCTGTTTAAGGTGTCGCTGCGTTCTTTATTTAATAGGGGAGGGGGGGGAATAAAAATTTTTGTTAAGCTTCTGTTTTCTCTTGCTTTAAAGTGGCTTAAATTTCGAATCTCTTACGTTATGAGTTATATTATCATACTAATTCCTGTGCTTTTCAGATTCTTCAGACACCTAAATGAGAACAATAAACTCAAAATTGATCCTTTAGCTACTATTATATGGTGTCAAGCGATTAACTGTAGCAGGATAGTCAGCCTGACCATACAACATGGTGCTTTGCTCAGGTGAATGGTTTTAATGTGAGGGTAAAAGTCTTTCTCAGAACAGTGGTTATTTGACTGTTTTTCATGCTTAAAAAAAAAAAAATTGGTGGATGGGGTCACATTGGGAATAGATTTTCTCCAACCAGGCCACCTCATTTTTTCTGAGTAGTGGGTGATGGCAACAGCGCTGAAATAGTGTAGCTCGGGCTTTATCTGTATAGCAAGTCAGAACATACTAGTGTAAGGTTTCTACTTAAAGTATACTGTTACTCTATTGTAGGATAAATCTTCGGATAAAAAAGTGCAAACAAAAGGGAAAAGAGGAGCAAAAGGAAAACACGCTGAAGTGGCTAACCAGGAAACTAAAGATTTACCTGCAGAAAATGGAGAAACTAAGAACGAGGAGGTCAGACGTGTTGGAGTGTTTAATTGGTTTTTGACTCTGAACAGTAGATAATACAGTGTATATTTTTTGAGACAGATAGTTTCTGTTTATAATATTGAATGAAGCTTTGTGTAGAAACCCAGAGTGGACAGATTACTTTTAATGAATTGTACTTGAAAGTACGTATATGAATGGCTTCTTTTTCAAGAAACAAATTTTAATGTACTGAGCATTTCATCAGTAACTGATTCACCATCTATGCTGTACACAGGATTCATCATATACCCCTTGGTGTGCATTTTTTTAAAAGGCCTAATTAGTAAATTGCATAAAACTCAATTTTCTTTGATTCATACGAACTTGGTTCTTTTAGACAAATAGTCTGTTCGTTGTATTGAAATTACAGTCTGCAGGCCTTTTGTAATTTGTTGGGATATAGAATCCTTGTTTTATTTTTATATTCTGGATATTGCTTTAAAAAATTTTCTTTAAAATCCATTTCCCCTTATTTGCGTTGTGCCTTGGCACATTTTTCACACTTTCATTTCTAATCAAGAAGGTTTTGTTTTTGTTTTTCTTAAAAATAGCAACTTCTCAAAGTAACCAATTGCTGAGGACTAAGTTGATTTAGATCAAGCAAATAAAAAGACTGGTGTTAATCTTTTTCCTTTTAAGCTATGAGGAAAAGAGGCTGTGCAAAGTTTTCTTCAGCAACGCTATCCTTTTGTGTTGATGGCTAAGCTAGCAAAGAAATAATTTAGAGGTATTTTTAAACTTTGTTTACAGATGAAAATCTTATAGTGATCAAACTATCATCCTAAGTTGTGAAATTTGCAATCACCTTTTATCTCAGCTTTTTTGTTTTTACTTCGTAGTTTTAGTCAGTGTTAAGTATTATGTAGTATTAAGATTTCTGTATTTGTCCGTATTAACTAATCCAGTCCTAGTTGTGAAGGGAAAAAAACTTGACCTTTTTTATCGCGTTATTTAGCTTTTTTTTAAAACCTAGTAGCTCTGTGGCACAGTCGTTAAGAGCTCGGCTGCTAACCAAAAGATCAGCAGCTCAAATCTCCCAGTTGCTCCTTAGAAACCCTGTGGGGCAGTCCTACTCTGTCTTGTAGGGTCTCCGTGAGTCGGAATCTACTCTATGGCAACGGGTTTGGTTTCTGGTTTAGTAGTTACCTATAAGTAAAACCTACATTGAGTTAAATGCTAAAGATTTAAGATCATACCAGTGACAAAGAAACCAAACATGGTCATTATTTTTCCTTTGATTTGCAGAGTCCAGTCTCTGATGAAGCAGGAGAGAAAGAAGACAAATCTGATTAATCTACCATGTCTTATCAGTGGTCCCTGCATCTCCCTTCTTGTACAATCCAGAAGAATATTTTTATCAACTATTTTGTAAATGCAAGTTTTTTAGTAGCTCTAGAAACATTTTTAAGAAGAAGGAAATCCCACTTCATCCCATTTTTTAAGTGTAAATGCTTTTTTTCAAGAGGTGAAATCATTTGCTGGTTGTTTATTTTTTGGTACAACCAGAAAATAGTGGGATGTTGAATTGTGGGAGGCTTTTGACGGTCTTGGGTGTCAACGTAACATTCCATAGGTGGGGGGCGATTTTTATATGCTGTAATACAAAGCATACTTAATGGCAGTTTGGAGTTGCAGTAATGCATTTATATGCCTTGAAGTTTTAAAATTACTTCTATTACCATGTTTTTTAGTAGAATTGTTTCCTAAAGGAAACTGCTCCCTCGTTATGGCTCTGCTTGTCAGCATTGTGCATTCTGTAACATCTTTGCTCGTGGTAGTCCAGTTTTCCTCCTAGCTTTGTTATGTGCTGTGAAAGGTTGAACATTTGAGTGTGTAGTGTGTGTGGTATTAAATTGTGAATTAGTGGGACTTGTTTGTAACAGCTTATCAACAGTTGAAGATAATTGGTTATTTGATACCCTCTTCAAGGAAAATTTGTCTTCAAATTTAAAGCTGGAATTTAGAAAATTATAACTACACATGGCTTTTTAGATTTTTGGTACATTAAGAATTGTGTACAGATCGTTCATAATGTCTCTGTACTGATCCTCAAAACAACCAATAAAATACGGATTATGAAAGAATTTTCAAGTGAATGGATTAAGTTCTGGCTTAAATCTTAGAGAATTTCCACGTTTGGTCTTCCAGAGTTTTTTTTTTTTTTTAATTCTTAATCTGAAAGTGAAATTTAATTTTTCTGTCAGACTTGAGCACCTATAGTGTACTTAATAGATGTTTGTGTGACTGTACTGGTTTAATAATGGAAAATAGTCCAGTGTCCCCTGAAGCAAAGTAAATGGATAAATTATTAGCTCTTTCACATAAGGTAAGCTTGTAAATATAAAAGAAGCTAGAACTACATTTGGTATGATTTGTACTGGCACAGTATTTCTGAGACTTGCCTTTGTGTATATTTAGTGTATACTGTACTTGAATGTTGCTTTCAAAATAGTCTTCAGAGGTGTCTTAGGGCAGCTGCAGAGGCAGATTATCCAGTAGGCAAGGTGAGCACAAGTAAACCTGTGATTACCTTGCTTACTGGGTCATCGGCCTGTCAGGGATTGTAAATTTTTTGAAAAGAGGCTTTGATTCTGTAGGAGGGTGTGGGTAAGGAAGGGAGACAGGTGCCAGCCATACCTAGAAGCAGAGTCTTTGATGTAAAAAAATGAAATTGTTCACTACAGATGATCTGGTAAGCAAGGTAAGCACCACGGTTACCTTGCCTATTGGATAATCTGCCCTTGGGCAGCTGTGCTGGTTTGGCAAGTGTGGAAAGGACCTTGCCAAGGTTACCACTAAAGAGGGGGACCTTGGAACAGAATTCAGGCCTCCACACTTGGGATGTTTTTTTTGTCTGGACCAATTAGAGGTGAGAATGTCTTAAAGTCCAAGGACTCATAGAACTCTGCAAGGACTTTGTACCTCAGAAATGACTCTTGGGCAGAGTTCATAGGGAGTAGTAAAACACGATCTCTTAAAAAGCATGCAGGCTACAGAAAAAAGCTAATGCGAGAACAGTGACTTGAACTGACACCCAAAGATGGTTTTGATGACCCCTGGGGGAGGGAAAGGACGAGAAGTCAGGTTGCCCGATTTTTAGTGTTTGTTTCACCATGGAGGGCCTGAAACGTAAATACTGAGATTTGCCTTTAGTTCCCAACTGTAGCAGTTCAATGGTAGAATTCTCACCTTTCATGCAGAAGACCCTGGTTCAGTTTCCAACCAGGGCCGCTTCATGCACCGCCACCTGTCAGCAGTGGCTTGCGTGTTGCCATGATACTGAACAGGTTTCAGTGGCGGTTCCAGATTAATACAGACTGGGAAGAAAGCCCTGGTGATCTGCTTAAGAAAATCAACCAGTGAAAACCCTGTGGATCCCAACTCTTCAACGCACAACTGATCGTGGGGATGGCATACGGCCTTGGTGCATGGGTTTGCCATGAGTTGGGGGTCAACTCGACAACAGCTAACAACAGGTAGACTAGATTAGTTTTTAGATACACAAATTAGAACACTGAAACAGGTTTTCTCTCTCTGTGTATGGATCAGTTACTCTTTTTCTGCCAGAATTTATTTGCAGCAGTTGCAGGGGGCTGTATAACTTTATATTCTATTTGGCGGTGTTACTACTCAACCCTGTCACCCCAGGAGTGGTGATGTGTGTGCACATGTTAGATTTCTCAATTGTTTGTTCTGAACTCATTGCTAGTATTTAAAGAGATTATTAGTTTTTCTCAAGAAAAACAGTATAACTAGCATGAGATTCTTCTGAGTTTTTATGGATTGATGCATAAATGAGATAATCTTTTTAGAAAATTGGCATAGAAGTACTTCCAAAATTCTACCTGCTTTGTTACATCTGACTAGGATGTTAAATAGCCCCCAAATTGTTATTCTTTTGTGTTAAAATGAACCCTCAACCTGATGTCCTCTTCAGCTGTTAAAGAAAAACAATTGCTTTTTCAAAATAGGCAACTTTGAGGCATGTTTTCTGGGATCAGTACTTGCAGAAAGTTAATCTCTTTCTGTTTCAATGACTAGTTCTGAACACTGAGAACTAAGGAGAATGATTGAACATATCAATATCAGATAGCCTAAAAGGACAAGGAAGATAAATTTTAATGGTAGTGCAAACTAATCTTTAGTTTATTATAAACACGGGTTATCAAAAGCCCTGCATTCTCTTGGCTCGACAGAGAATGAACCCAAACGTGGATTCTTCAGGGGACTGAAGGCATAGAGCCTGGTACGTAGCACCTGTGTTCATGATAGTCCTGGAGGTCCATGAGAAGAGTTAGATTGTTGTGGCAGTGTTTGAAAAGAGTGTGTAAGAGTGTTTGCTTTGAGGGGGAGGAGAGCCTACAGGAATGAGGAATGTGTGTATGTGTCTGTATAATAAAAGTGCAAGAACAGTTCATACTGGGAAAAAAATGCAAACAAGCTAAAAACACCTATAATTCATTTATTTAGACACAGTATCTAAAGATGTATTTTTCTCAAACCCTTTACTGATTTTTATGCTTATGTGATTTTACAAAACCAAACCTGTTGCCATCATAGTGCTGTATTACACAGACTATTTTGTCCTATTTTTCATACTGTGAACTCCCCCCCAGTGTTAATGAATATACTTCGGTAGCATTTGTAATTGCAAGAGTATTTTGTTGGGAGGACGTATGATTTATCAGACGTTTAGACTTTTTCCCATTGAAATAAGCTTTGTGAAATTAAAATATGAGTAATCTCTGCCAGTGCACACAGATCCTAAGGATATGTTTGCCTGTCACAATCCCTGGTTCCGTAAGGTTGCAACGAAATAGTTGACAGTAGGAAGTTTAAAAACGGGCGCCTTGAACAGGTGGTGATGAGGTTTAGATGATGGCAGGCAACTCAGTAACAAATTTGAAGTAATTTATTTTCAGATTATGAAACTATTACATTCCCAAACAACAAACCCTAGATAATAAATGTAAACTAAGACAACATTCAATCCTGAAGCTAAAAGTAGCTATTTTAGATGTGTTGGTGAATTTTCATATATATATGGGCTTTTTTTTACATTTATTTTAATAACCTGCTTAATAGTTCACCATTTGGCTGTGTGATAATTTGGCCCTTTCTATACAGTGGGTTTGTTTTTTAATTACAGTTTGTTGCTGTTTGCCCTTGAGTCAATTCCAACTTACAGTGACCCTATAGGACAGAGTAGAACTGCCCCATAGGGTTTACTAGGCTGAAATCTCTCTTGGAGCAGATTGCCAGGTTTCTTCTCCCATAAAGTGGCTGGTAGGTTCGAACCACCACCCTTTCGGTTAGCAGCCAAACACTTAACCATTGTGCCACCAGGGCTCCATAAACTATGGTTTATTAAGGATAATTTTGTACATTCCCAAATGCAGAACAGTATATGAAACCCCATGTACCAGTCAACCAGTGCCGATAGCCATCAACCCATTAACAGTCCTGCCCTATTTGTGTTTTTAAGCAAATAAGCAAATATTAATATAAGGAAATTAAAAGTGAACAAAACACAAAGGGAACAAATATTTACATCAGGGATACAAAATGTTAATATTTTTATCTTAGGGGTTTTGCACATTCTGTCAGGGTTGGGTACAGATTCAATTTAACAAGAAGCTATTATTAAAAATCATCCAGTATGGCTAGTTCCACCATTAAAATCACGTACTACCTTCTAGATGCTCATGCCACATTAATGAGAAAAGAGTATTCTAAAAAAATTTTAGGGCATGGAAATGCTTAGTGATGCAATTAATAATATAAAGGAATTGGGGACGGAAAAAAAAACAGTGCAGAGATGCAAGATGATTGGAGAGACTCTCAATGTAGATTTGAGTTAGGGACAGTCATACTGTCTGCTGCTCAGTACCCACTGCCTTCTCGATTGCTAGTGAGTGTAACCCCACAATGAAAGCAGTGAAGGATAGGTAATAGGGTTTAACCTGAGTAATAATAAGGCCTGTCTCAGAGGGTCAGAGGAAATAATGCAGTGCCTGGCACACAGTGCTCAGCAAAGGTTTGTTTTTATTACTGAGTGCTTTCCAGAGCTTATGATGACTAGATTTCCTGCCAGATTTTTTTTCCCTCTTAAAACAATATCTACTTTTAAGTAAAGTCTTTGAAAATAAACGTTTGCTGTAACTAGGTTGAGTGTTAATTCGAGAACTGCCGGTTAAGATCTGACTGTGATACCACGTTTCAATACAGCTTTTGTTAAGTTCTTAAGTGTTTTCTTTACATCCTTAACTATTTGTAAAGATTACTGTTGTGTTTTAGATCTGATTCATAACTAAATTATGTTAGTATCAAATTTTATCTCTGAAAGCACCTAATGTTAACCTTTAGAAATTTCAAGTTGAAAAATGAATGAAGACTAGTGATAACCAAATTTTGTGTGAGAATTTTAAGGTGTGCTACTAATCTGTTATGCATGATTCATATAGAGGAAAAGTTGAAAGTCTTGCATGCTTGGATGTGTCTGTGTAAGGATGTGGCTGCCGATTTAAATGTACAAGACTTTCAACAGTAATTTTCAACAGCGCTGATTTGATTATTTACCTGAAATATATTTAAAGACAGCCTTAACTGTCGTCGCATGATTTGTCACATTCTGCTTCACTTCTCCTTATTTTATTTATCTTTGAAACTCAAGCAAGCTAAATATTTAAATTCAGCAAATTTAATTGAGCTGATATGAATAAAGTGGTCTGTTAGATACTAGGATAAATGAACTCTGGGTACTTTGACAATGGATTGAACAGAATGGCTCTTCCAAATTTTCAGGACTCCATATAGCTATTGGTAAGCCTCAAGAATAAGCTTTTTTTTCTAAGAAAAAGATAAGATTTGACTGGAGGAGATGAAAGAAGATCTGAGCAAATGAGAGACATACTGTGTTCCTAGTAAGGGTGTCAATTTTTTCTACCTAAAAATGTAATGGAATTCCAATCAGAATCCCAGTGGAAATTGGAAAGCTGATTCTAAACTTCATCTGATAGAGAAAATCGTGAGAATAAACAATTTTTTTATAAGAAGTATGGGTAAGGGAAGACTTGCCCTACCAGTTATCAAAAGTTCCTATAAAACAACAGTAATAAAAGCAACATGGTCCTTAAGCAGAAATAGATAATGATCGATGAAACAGACTAGACCAAACAGATTTAATATAACAGTAGCGTTTCAAACAGGGCTTCAGATCGGTTCAAAGCGGTTCAGTCGTGGCTGACAGAAACGAGCAGCATAAGCATTGCATAGCAACCAAATCTCTTGCGCTTCAACTTTTGACCTGAGTAAGAAACAGGCCTCTGTGCCCTGCTCAAAGATAGCTGTGGACCACACTGCTTTGAATGTGTGTCACTCTCAACAGTCCTGCCAAAAATCCGGTCTCCTGCATCAGATTCCTGGAAGTTTCCTGATGCCAGAGATTGCATGATTGCCAGGACTGTGGATAGCTAAGCACATTCAAATCTGAGAGGTAAGCTGCCATCTTTGAGCTGGGCACTGCTGCGCATTTCCTACTTGGGTCAAAAGCTGACTCGCAAGAGATTTGGTTGCTATCCAACGCATACACTACCCTTGTTTCCATCAGCCATGACTGAACTGTTTAGAACCATTTCGAGCCCTGATTTCAAATCACTGAGAGAGAACATTCAAAAAAGTTCCAGTTCAATTGTTTATACAATTAGAAATATAGGAATTAGATTCCTACCTTACACCAGCTACAGAAATAAGTTGCAGGTAGATCAAAAAATCTATTGAATAGGAAAATTAATACAGACACATTACTCTGATGTTAAGGTTTCTTTTATCCACAAAACCAAATGTTAAGTGCCGTTGAGTCAGTTCCGACTTAATACAGCAACCCTGTGTACAACCGAATGAATCACTGCCTGGTCCTGTGCCATCGCAACAATCACTGCTATATTTGAGCCCATTGTTGGAGCCACTGTGTCAGTCCATTTCCTTGAGGGTCTTGCTCGTTTACACTGACCCTCTACCAAGCATGATGTCTTTCTCCAAGGACTGGTTCCTCCCGATCACGTGTACAAAATACATGAGATGAGGTCTCATGATCTTCACTTCCAAGGAGCATTCTGGCTGTATTTCTTCCAAGACAGATTTGTTCATTCTTTTGGCATTTCATGGTATATTCAGTATACTTTGCCAACACCATAATTCAAAGGCATCAATTTTTCTTCAGTCTTCCTTACTCATTGTCCAGCTTTTTCATGGCACATGAGGTGATTGAAAATATG